TAATAAATAAAGTCGTTAATAAGAGTAACAAGCTAACACAGCCGTTGCTTTCCTTGTAGTAGGTGTTAAAGGTCTTCAGTTTCCAGATGTCGTAAGTAGACAACGGATTTTCATTAAAAATACTATTAAGAGAATAAAGTAAAGTACATCTTAAATACGTCCTACTCTTGGGTATAGGCTTTCTCTCATTTTTGAGGGATTTTTTTATAGAATAAGGGTGACAAACGAGCACACAGTCCACCTGATGGTAAGTGGTTGCTGCGGCCCATAGACATCTACATCTATCCTCTATTACAAATCAAAATGCAGATGCGTTTTCACCCGTGAGGACTAAGATGGAATGCCTCATTTCCAATAAAAAGGGTCTCCGGTTCTCTACACTCACCATACGAAACACAGCAGTGTTAAACTATTATTCTACGCTGGTATTCTGTGAGAGCGTGGTCCTTCCCCGGTCGAGCCGACCCATCCGTGCTACAACTATACCACTAATAGCTGCAGCATGGCTTTTTTTTTTTTTTTTTTTTTTGCGCCCGAAGCAATTGGAAAAGGGCTACCACTGAGGGAGGCGGAAAATGCATTATGCATACCACGACAGCCGGTCTGTCCTGGTTATGTGGGACTCACTGCCTACCGGGGGACCTAAGTGATACCCACTAAAAACCGCCTTTGGGGACTGGCAACTAGCTCTATTAAAGCTGCATATGCCGTATCTAAAGCGACCCTCTTTTGGGAAAAGAGGGCGCAGACGGCTAAGTGCCGTTTAGGGACTGCCTACGAAGGCATATTATTAATTTTAACTAATTTTTAATTTAATTAGGATTGGCCTGAGCCGCCAGGAGGCAGTTCAGGTCGTTTGACAACTTATTTGGCGGGTCCGAGAGAGTGTTTCTCGGCCTGCGGACGCTATAGCGAGAAGGGAGTGGGGCGGTATAAGTAACTGCCTCACGAATAAGTGTGTTAGTATGCGACTCTGATACTTTAAAGAAGTTTTCAGAGAATTTTTTAAGACATTGCTGGATTGTTGGGATTTCTAAATCCCGGTGAAGGTCGGCATTACGGACGTACCAAGGTGCGTTCGTAGCTCGACGACAGAAGAGGTTTTGAACTACTTGGAGTTCGTTAATAATTTTATCGTTAGCGTGTGCAAAAATAGGAGCCGGCAGCATGGCTCTACCACGTATAAAATATACGTATAAGTTGTTCTGTTTCAGTGTACCTGGATAGATTTCAACCCGGGTCCACCAATGAAATAGTAAATTTTAAGTGCTGATTTACCGCGTTGAAGGAAAACATTATAAGGAAACCTGCACATCTGAGTAAAATAAAAAATATTTCAAAAACACCAAAGTCCACCAACCCGCATTAAAACCGTCTCAGAAATGATATGGGCCTGTGCCCAGCAGTGGGACTTATAAGGCTGTAATATTACTTTAATTTAAGTATTTTTAATTCTTGCCGATATGTGACAACCCTATAGCATTGTCACCGCTCACTAGACACGCTTGAAAGTGGGTCCTCCGTCATCCAGGCGAACCGAGCGTTATAGCATTTGTCACTTCATTACAGCGGTTGAGGTTTAATGGAGGGTCGGTGAGAGTGCGACGATTATTTCTGACGCTTTAATTAAGCCGAGCATAAAGGTCAAGAGCTCGTAGGCATTTTCAGAGCGGATTCGCAACGTGATGTGGTCAGAAACTGAAGAGGTGAAGTGTCTGCAATGATTACATGTTGTGTAGTTGATTTTGAATGTTATGTAATCTGTTTTCTGTTGGATATAGAAAAATGCAATTCAAGTTGTCCACGCCCGTGTTTGGTTTTAGTAAAAATTTTAACAGAATTCAAAAAACAACGCGAATGTTGTACCTACTGGACGCGTATGTTTTTAATGTATGTTCACTGATCTCTCGGAAACGTCTAAACCTATTTATATATTTTTTTATTATTGAAATATTTATATTTATATAATATATTTTTTCTTATACATCAGAGGCTGTCACATATAATTTTAAAGAAAATATTCCATGCCTAAGGATAAAGAAAAAATAAGAAATAAACATTTTATGTACTTATATATACTTAAACGACATTCGAGTTGTTGTTACTTTAAATTTGTGATATTCCTCCTCCAAAAGGATAAAATAATTAATCATCATCATCATCATTATAGCCTTTCACAATTCCACTGCCTGAATATAGGCCTCCCCCAAGGAATGCCACAAAGCCCCGTGTAGTGGCGGGTAAGAATACCTACTTCCCCATATCTTTCCGTAAAAGGCGACAGAGAGAAACTGAGGCAGAAGATGGGCAGCAGTATCTTTCTGATAACAACAAAACAACAATAAAAAAACTGCGGTTGCCAACCCGCTCGCCAAGAGTGACAACTATGGCAATATACCCCATGATTAAAACAATTAATAAGATAAAATAATTTTCACATAATAGATTCTGAAATTGGGGCTTTACTCGTAATTCTTTGATGCACTGCCGCATGCACCGACTGTAGAAGCGCGGTAAATGTAACTTATTATTATTTTTTGAGGTCGGTTCTACTTTTTATTAAAATTTTAATTATTATAATTTGCGTCTAGTTATTAGGTACTGTTCAATTTTTTTTTATCAAGTCAGGTAAACGTTTGGCCATAAACATGCCTGATATAAAAAGACGTTAAGAAGGCGCCATACCACTGCAAGATGGTGAGGTGGTATGGTGTTGCTGAAATAAAAAAAAATCTATTTTTAAAACCTACTAAGAGAAAAACAAATGTTGAATTAAAAAATTTTGTACAACCGATTTCAATACAAATAAAATGCAAACATCATCAATGTAGTCGAAGTCAATTAAATACGCATTAATAATTCAAAAACTACTAGTTAGATCTTGATCAAATTCATATGAAACTATGTGAGAAGCACCAGCTTTTAAATAAAAAAAGAATCATCAAAATCGGTTCACCTAGAAAAAAGTTCTGAAGTAACATAGTAAAATAGTTAAAAATTAAAAAATTTGTACAACCGACTTCAATATAATTTATTAAGAATAACTCAATAAACTATTGATCAGGCCTTGATCAAATTTATTTGACCATATGAGAAGCACCAACTTTCAAATAAAAAAAAGAATCTTCGAAATCGGTACACCCAGACAAAAGTTATGAGATAACACACATAAAAAAAGAAAAAAATATATAGTCGAATTGAGTACCGTCTCCTTTTTGAAGTCGGTAGAAAAATACAGTCGAATTGAAAACCACCTCCTTTTTTTGAAGTCATTTAAAAATAAAAATATCGAATGGATGTTTCATCCGATATTCTTTAATTAAAAATGTCTAGAAAAAATATCATTATTTATTCTCTGTCTGTGATATACGATATCCAGTGGGTGTAATAAGAAGCGTCAAAGGGAAATAATACAGGAGATGGGCAGCAGCATTTTCTTGATTATAACTTAAAATAATAAAAAACTGCGGTTGCCAAGCCGCCTGCCGTACGTGGCAACTATGGCAAATACTTCCTCCTCAGTAAATACATCCTTTACAGCTTTTTGGTCTTTTTGCTGTGTCCCGATCAGAAGGGTACCTATTATATTCACAGGCTTTCCATCTTAGTCCTCAGATGTGACAACGCCTTCTTTTTCTACCTACTTCAAGAAGGAGACGGCACTCAATTCGACTGTATGTTTTTTATGTGTGTTACCTCATAACGTTTTGCTGGGTGAACCGATTTCGATGATTCTTTTTTTATTTGAAAGCTGGTGCTTCACACGTGGTTCCATATACATTTGATTAAGGTCTGACCAATAGTTTTTGAGTTATTCTTAACAATTTATATCGAAATCGGTTGTACAAAATTTTTAATTTTAAAGAATTTATAGTTGGTTGTAGGGTCCATAGCCTGCAGTATCTATTTATCATCATGTAGACTGAAAGTATGCTTATCACTAAAAAAAAAAGAAACTATTAAGGCTACAGATGCATCGTCTTCCTGAAGACTCCCTGAGGAGACGATAAAATGCCTCACATTCTGTAATCATAGTGGTTCTCTTATCCGGCGGGACCAAAGACATTTAAGTAGTAGTAGTAAGGCGGGACATAACAGTGGAGGCACTGTTGCTTTGCGGCAAAAATACGACTAGGTACATAATCAGATTTAGAAAAAAATTAAAAAAAAATCCGATCTCTGATAAATGCCGTCACACAGTCACAGTTGTATCAGATTTGGTGATGACTAAAGATTACGGCGGTTTTACTCGCGACTCTTCGATCCTAATATACTGGCGAGCCAAATAGAGTTTGTTGAAGCAACGTGCCAAATTTCATATTAATTACGAGCTGCGAGTTAAGCTCGTCAGCTCACAAAATCGCGGTTTTGCGTTGATCCACCAATGAGCTTTGACGGCGAGACGCAAAGAGACACAAGGCGTCTCACCCATCGATCAGGGTCTTTAAACATTACTGGTTATTTAAAGTTATATAAGTTTATATAAAGATATTTTAGTATTACCGTCGCCATTCAGTGCTAAAACAGCCAATTTTCCTGCCAGGGTTACGTAATCACGGCAAATTTTAATTCCTCGGGCAGGAATTCCATGCTTTAATTCCTCCCTCTCCTTTCCACTATCGAACAACCAAGTGGTCGGCGGCTCTTCCCCCCTTTCTTGTCAATATTCCACGCCTTATAGCCAAACGGTTTGCTTCACCTTTTGCTTTTGAAATGCGTACAGCAAAATAGTGGAATAGTTTGCCGGCGTCTGTCTTTCCGTCCGAATATAATCTGCGCGTCTTCAAGGCAAGAGTGAATAGGCTTTTGTTACGCTAAGACAGTGCGATTTACCATCTGGGGTTTGATCACCATTTACCGCCAGATGCGAGTATGGTCAAGCACTGGCTTATAATAAGTAAAAAAAATATTTATTAAAAGAATGTCAATTGATGGGTTCAAAGAATGATATTATATTGTTTGTATCAGGGTGAGGCGGTTACGTGTGGTCTGGCAGTAGGATGGCGCTGAAGACGCCTACGCCGGTAGACGGCGAACGCGAGACGTGGGGCAAGAAGGTTGACTTCCTGCTCTCTGTGATCGGGTTCGCCGTCGACCTCGCTAACGTGTGGCGCTTCCCATATCTCTGCTACAAGAATGGTGGGGGTGAGTATTCTGTTTAGTCAAACCCAACACGTGTTGTTACCTATTACTTCTTGATGCAATTCAGCACATTTAAAATTTTTTTTGTTGGTATTCTCCTCACGTCACAATGACGTATATGGACCAAAAAACTATGCTCAATTGCGCTGTAGAAGTTTCTAAGCTCGACGTATATTTTATGTATAATAATTCAATAATTTATTTTAAAGCGTTTCCTTTTCTACGTATATGGAGGATCAAACAAAAATGTGGCTAGTCAAAATGTTTATCACGAATTTTATTCATTTTTAAAATTTGAATGCTAAAAAATGTGTGATATAATTTTCAATTTAACCTTTATAATTTTTCTTTTTTTTTTTGAAAAAATTTATATATATATATTGCAATAGAAAAGGTTTCCTTCGTGAATTCTACACTCTTTTAATATATAAAATCTAAGTCTACTTCAGTCAGTCAGACATCTTAGTTTAGGTTATGCTATACTCTGATGTAAATGTGGGGCGGCAGCCTGAATCCCCGACGTGAATAGCTAAGTGCCACTTGCAGTGCTAATTGTCGACATCCCTGTTTCCGACCTAAGACGAACGCATAATATGCATTCTCTACGTAGCGTCATCGGGTATTTAATGTGACTCCAGTTATGGTTTCATACACATTTTATCCCATAGAAAATAAAATATCGACTAATTGACCGTGGGTGAACATAATCAGAGTCAACTTTTGGAACTCAAATATTACCCATTACATATTATAAAATTGTAAAAAAATTTACGGATTTTTTTTCTAACATGTCTTGCAAGTTACTCTTGCGCGTCCAGCCTGCACTCCACTGTTGAACAATGGCCTCTTCTAGTAAAAGAAGAGTTAGCAGGCGTAATCGCGATTCTAACTTTGACGCCGGTTCCCGCCACATTTCTGGTTTTAGAGGTTTATTTCAAACTTTATTGTGTTCGCCTAGTGTCCAATATAAGTTAAACGTGGAATTAATGTCAGCCGGCATTTTTTGCCTGTCAACCCAAAGCGTAATTTAATGCAGTAGCACAGAATAAATAATAGTTAAAAGAAGTAGTAGCAAGTGTCCTGAGCTAGAATAAGTTTCGTGCTTTATCGCTTATAAAATAATTTAAAATTTAAAATTTGTACAACCTACTTCAATATTAATAATAATAATTAATAGCGAATAATAAAAGACAAGCTCGACATTTGTCGAGCTTGTCGCCATCCTGGTGAATCACTTAGGCATGTCATCTCCGGTTGTTCGGCGCTTTCTAACTCTGAGTACTTGCATAGGCACAACCTAGTAGCCAGGATTCTACACCAGGAGCTCGCTCTGAAATACGGTCTCGTGGATCGGAAACTGCCTTATTATAAGTACATGCCGGAAGCCGTGCTCGAAAATGACCGCGCCAGGCTCTACTGGGACCGGGCCATCATCACAGACAGGACCATTCTTGCGAATAAGCCTGATATTGTGCTGATGGACCGGGCACAGTCAAGGATATTTTTGGTCAACATTACCATTCCGTATGACGAGAACCTCGTGAAAGCCGAAACAGATAAGCGAACAAAATATCTGGACCTGGCTCACGAGGTGACCAACATGTGGGGTGGACTGCCGGCCGAAATTATACCTGTAGTCGTTTCTGCGAACGGGTTAATCCCAGTCAGCCTCTCGGGTCATCTGAGGCGACTGGGACTCCGTGACGGACCGCTCCAAGCTCAAATGCAGAAGGCGGTGCTCCTCGATACCGCCCGCATCGTCCGCCGGTTTCTTTCCCTTTCCCCCTAACCCTCGGCCGTTTGGTCTCCCCTGCCGAGGGCTTCCATCTGGTTGGGTTTTTATTTATTTATGTATTTTTTATGCATTTATTTTATTTTGTTGATATTTATGTATGTTTATCATTTTCATTTACAATTATATATTTATACAGCCCAACCAGATGAGTAAACTATATAGATGCCCCAAATAATTAATAGTATTTAAGTTATTAAGAATAACTCAAAAATGGTCAGACCTTGATCAAATTTATATAGGACCACATGTGAAGCACCAGCTTACAAATGAAAAAGAATCATCAAAATCGGTTCACCCAGTAAAAAGTTATGAAGTAACACACATTAAAAAAATATACAGTCGAATTGAGTACCAGCTCCTTTTTGAAGTCGGTAGAAAATAAAATTTCTGCTTTTTAATCTATAAAACATTAACAATTTGTTTCTGAATTATGAAATTCCAAAAGTACAAATCTATGATCGTACAATAACAATAATATCTTACACTGTAAGCCTGCACGTCCTCTTATAATACTAGTCGTAGCAATGGCCTGCTAATTGCGTGCTAACGCCACGTGTAGGGCTCTTCTTCCTTAATAGTCGGCTAACAATCCTCGCCTTGTACCTAGAGCCGTTGCTTGAGTGCCTCGTACTCCGCTTGCACCGGCTTCTGATTAAACGCTTCACATACGTCTCGGCTTCTTTAAAGATAATATGCTATTCGATCCGATTGTTTTAGTGTAAGGAGGTTCAATATCGATGATACCATCTAGCTATGGTAAATAAAAGTTTGCACTTTTCTTTGTGGCAACGCACAAAAGGAAATACACGTTCATGTTGGCAAAACTCATTCATCAAGCATGTTTTAATTTAATTGATATTTGAATATTTAATATTTGATTTTATTTCATTATAATATACAACATTTAAAAACTATCATAAAATAAAAATAAACTAAAAGTAATAACTTAATTATCGTACAGTCCTACTCCCCGTAGTATAGTGCCAAGAATGCTGGCTGCGTTTCCTCGCATGAAGGGCTATACTTGGCCTTTGAGCGAGAAAAGAATCAGCCCTCTTATCACCAGCAGCAACGACCAGTCGCGGGTAGAGTTTCTTTAGGAACTCCACCGCACGTGGACCTCACGGACCGATGTCGCTACAGCAAATGGCACAAATATGTAGTGATTTCTCAGAGACTCATATTTGCGCTATTTACGCAGTTCAGCTGCCTCTGATGCTACCCCGGCTCTAAATGAGGTACCCCTGAGATGAGAGGCCGTCTAAAACCGAGGGAACATTTATAGAGACAAGAGTCCTTCGGATAACATCGTTCAAAGAACTGTGCCGTGAAAACCTACCAGCACTTTTCTGACATGAAAGTCCGTGGAGCCCAAACTTGTCGACGCTGCTACCACAGGGGCACTGATGGCGTTGACAAATCGCCGCTCCTAGTCGGATGCATTAATGCATAAAATATATTTAAATAATAACGTAAAAAATATTTTTCTTCTTTTTTGTTCTTTATTAGGTTTATATTAGACGAACGCCATGCACAAAGTCAGTGTATTTAATTGCACGTAGGTATTTTCAGTTGGATCCAAAGAGTACTTTTTATAATACATATATGATCCAACCAATCTGACTGCGCAACCGTGCGCCTAGCCCAGGAGCTCATTGTAAATCTGTTTCCACTGCGACATCTACTTTTACACTACGGTAGGATACCTTATTCGAGATTATTTTTTTATTGTTATAAAAACGGAATCGAGCAGTGTGGATAAAGTAATTACTGTTATATTATATAAAAAAAATATGTAACTGAATATTTAAATTACTGGTTTTGATCAAGAGAACGATATTTTTAAAAAAATATGTGTCCGTCAAAACACTTTCATGTGTCTATATTCTGAACTTTTATGATTTCAAATGCTGACATCACTTATAACTAAAGAAATAAACATGTCAGTGTCGACATTCTCCATTTTAATTTGTTAAAAAACTTCGCAAAAATTCGTCATAATAAGTCCGTATTCCTAGACTAACTTTATTAAAACTATCAGTACCCGACCAAAATAGGAATATAAGCGTCGATAACACGACTGCAGCCGGCCGCTAGCAGTTAAAACCCAGGGGACTAAATAATAATTTTTGTCCGTCAGATTCACGATTAAAAGCACTCAACTGATTCCTATGAAATTTTGTTTATAGGTACTTAGTGATTCTGGTTTCTTTGTATTTACGATTACGGAACTTAAAAAAGGAAAGTTAAGTTTTTTTCTTTACATGTTAATTTTGTATCGTATACATATATATAAAAGTTAAAGTTAAAGTTGCAGCCTATTTACGTCCCACTGCTGGGCACAGGCCTCCTCTCATTTCTGTGAGGGCTTTAGGGTAATTTTTAGTTTTCAGGGATATTCTATAAATTATAAACGGGATAACGTAGTGTTTTTTAAATTAATACCATATTTATAAACAAAGTTTAAAATTAGTTTTAACCGTTGTGTAATAATTTGAAACTACGCATTATGACAAACAAACACAGAGACACATACACCGAGGTGACTCTACAAATCTACCAGTAGTGATCCAAATTTGCTGATTTTGGCACAGAGCAGTATTTAAATGATGTTCATGAATTGAAGGCTACGCGAGTATAGCCGCGGGTAAAAGCTAGTAGATAATAAATATAATAATTTCCTTTCTTTTTTCTTCTATATTATCAAAAATAAGTCTGTTTAATTATATCAAAACTAGTACGACATATACGGAAAGCGTGGTCTAGTCTGCGGAAATGAGTGGCTCGGGGCAAGAACAGTGCGTGACAGTGCGACCGGAACTGGCTCGAATGAGCGGCTTGTTTGATCTCTACTTGCACAGGATTGTATGGTCTTTAAAAATATAGGTCAGTAAAATAATTTGCTTTGTCCGTACTTATCATTTATGAATTGGAATTTAAATTTCACCTCAGACACTTGAACAGTATAGCAAATCTTAATTTATTGTTATTATATATTGAAATTGATTCAATTGTAGTTTTTTAAACATGCTTAAATGCTTAAGATTTTATTTATAGACTAGCTGTGCCCGCGGCGTAGCTCGCGTATAGAGGTTTTACATAAAGAATTTGTCGTTTAGGTAAGAGAATATTAAACGATTTATTTCATTACTGTATCAATAAGTGGTAACTAAATAAATCATTATCATCAAAGTTCTAAGTCGTTTAT